GATCACTCAGAGAAGAGAGATGAGACAGAGAAGAGAGAGAGGGGAGAGAGAGAGGAAAGAGAAGACAGAGAGAGAAGACGAAGAGAGAGAAGACGGGTGAGAATGACAGAAAGAGAAGATAGTAGGCCAAACATAGATAAAGAACACGAATAGAGAGAAATAGCAAGCGAGAAAGAGACAGAAGGCTAGAGAAACGAAAGATATCATCTTAAAATATATCATATAACTTATATACTAGTTTACCGAGTTATGATATCTTACGCTTCAGTGCGGAGTATATTCACTAAGAAATATTATATAGAAATATTGACATATAATAATTTCTACCAAGATTCCGTCATCTCCCAATCACTTCTTCGCTCACATACTCGCCCTTACTATAAATGATTAGGAATTTTAGTCTACTATAACTTTATCGTGCCCTAATTTGTCTAAGCATGCCAGAAACTGTGACAAGAAAAGTATAAAAGAAATAAGGCTAGAATAGATAATAGATCATAGAATTATTTAGAGATGAACCTTTACTGGTATTATCCATGTACAAGCATTCATAAAAACAACTGCTTAAAAATAAAATAAAGAAAAAACAAGACTACTTATTACTATAGAATCATTTACACAATCTCTCTCATCTACTATCTACTCCCGCTCTCACCCTCTCTCCCTCTTCTGCGCGTGCCCCCCCAGACTCAACGCACTTACCAACACCAGTAACTCTCTCGACTCTCCTTTCAACTACATTTCTCATCCCCATCGTGCACTCTTCATCTCACTCTCGCTCACCTTAACCTCTAGAACCATAGCCCATCCTCATTAAATCGCATCAGCAATAACCCCACAATACGCCCCGCCGCAGCGCGCCGAACCAGGATCATAGTATTTAGCCTAATCCAACCTAATGCCCCCCACCATGCAAGCTCTAACCTAATCCCCCTACCCCTCCCCCCACCCCCACCTTGACCCCTTCCCCCTCCCATCCACCTTCCCCTCCCTCGCCAACCACCCCCTCCCCCCTCCCCCCCTACCCCCTCTTACTCACACGATTTTGCTCCCGACTTCACGCCACCGAATTGCTCCCTGAAAAGCCTACTCCTACAATAATTTCACTTCAAATTTACAAACATTCACAAACATATTACAAATCTTAATGCCATAGAAAATACACCATCCATGATACAACGAAATCAGTCCACTTCCAAATCATCGTCAGTGTAGAATCACTCGACAGTGGTCGTCAGTAGTATCACTTCTCAACTGCCACCTAGCTGCCCCAACAGTTTTCAGCAAGTTGCAATTTACATTTACACAATTATAAAATTAATATAATTATAGTCAATTGCATTCCTTTATCTGCCACATAATGTAATCAATACTATATAAGCCAGTTGCATTCTAGCAAAGATGCAGGCATGGGATAGTTTTTGGCTACTTAAGCATAAAAATTAAAATAATTATATATATATTTAAAAAAAATATTGAGCACTTATATCAACTCATTATATATATCTAAATCAGGAAGTATTAAAGTATATAGCGCATCTAGAGCCAAAATATATTCTCTTCAATTTTGCCTGAACAATTATATGATCGATTTGCCAGTGCGTAAACCGCGAGCCTGGACACCCAACCCTAACTCCACCTCTTGCGCGAGGGAAGCGTGCATTCCATGCCTCTGACCAGCCAAGTGTGTCTCACCCCCCTGGCATACACAAAGCCAAAAAACTGCGCTTTATATTACTGATCCAATCCAATTAAAAACTTTATCAACTGCCACTAGCCAACTGCCCAATGAGTAACATATGTTCAGAATTTGTCCACTAAAAATCTGTAAACTATTCGATTACTGAATAGACTGAAGTCTAAAACACCGAACCACATGAAAAACTCGACTTTTGCATTATGAGTTCGTGTACACACGGTAAGCTAGACACCAATACTTTAAACAATGTTGCCACTATACAACAGTTCTAGCATCAATTATTTACAACTTACAACTCTGTCAGCTTGACAAAACCTATTACATAAGTGCTGCACGCGCTAGTACTCAGGAGGCAGTTGCAGTCTTCTCAATAAATGGTAGTTAGCGTGCCTCCTTGTCCTGCCTCGTCTCCTTCCTGTCCTTCGGTCTCCTTCCTGTCCTGCGGCCTCTCTAACTCGTGAGTCTCCTCTCCTGCTCCGGCGTCTCCGTCCTGTTAACCACATTCAAAAACAAAAACAATCTAAACACTCCCCTCTAGACGCTTATAATACATAATATTGAATGTACCATAATTACTCGTGCTATAAGGACACACCCCCTATTGACCTTGAAAGTTGCAGGATGCAATCCACAAAAATTTAGGAAAGTAGAAAAACCCAGAGTAATGAAAGTCAATGCCAAAGCTCGTTCCTAGGATTCAGAAAGAATTATTCACTGTAGGTAAGAGCTAGTATGGAAAATTAGCATGCAAGATGTTTGAATTACCAAAAAGTTAGCATGCTCCAATCCCAGCTTCATGACCTAGCACCTTGGCACCAATTATTCCTCTCTCTCTCTGATATGCCTGCAATGACATTGCATGAAACACATACAGAGTGAACGGATAACAAATAATCTAGCTTGCACCGGTATTTATACCATAGATAACCCACGTTTTAATCTTGATTTAAAATTCTAAATCAGTTTACATATTTCTACAATTCAATAGTCATTTCTAAATTAAATCGGTCTTAAACATTGTCAATTGGTTCCAATTTATGTTTTTCATAGGAACAGCTGTGTCCCTATGTCACTGACACGATGACATGTGGACAGCTATATGTTGCAATCATATACTTGTACTAACCTTGCTCAATACCTGTCCACCCAACACACGAGTCTTCATAACATGACAATATTCATATTTGCCTGCGATGTCTCATAGTCGCCGCTACTGGTACACTGTGGCTCGTTATTACGTTGGGCCTCATCAGTGCAGATGTTTCGCAGATTCTATCTGTTGGTTTTTTTCTTCGTCTTCTCCTTCTTCTTCGTCTTCATCATCGTCATCTTCTTCTTCTCCTTCTTTTTCTTTCTCCTCCTTCTTCCTCGAGATGATTTTAAACCCCTGCAAAAGTTAGTATGAAGGTTATACCCTATGGTGTGATAGATTAATGTCAAGTATCTGGCTAAAACCTGGTAGCTATAGCTTGTTGCTTGACCACCAATGGTTTGAGAGGAATCGCTTAAAAACACACCGTATGTGTAGCACTACATGCGTATAAACAGAGGAATTGCTCCGACCTGTGATTGGAGGATAAAAATAGAATTTGTGACGTTTCGTTTCACCGGTCATAGCCGCGCGTGTATTAGCCTACGAGCGATACCGCGCGTGCATATTTGCTAATTGATTAGACTAATCGTGCTTCAATAGACTCAAAATTCAAAGAGATTAAGGCCAAGACATGTGTCTATAATAGCTAGAATTTATTAAAATGTAACTCAAATCGTTCGCGCCATATGATAGTTAGTACACGTTCCTACCGGCCATATAGATTATACTAGCCGCACGTATATTATTAGCCTATGAGCGATACCGCGAGTGCATATTTGCTAATTAATTAGACTAATCGCGCTGCAATAGACTCAAAATTCACAGAGATTAAGGCCAAGACATGTGTCTATAATAGCTAGAATTTATTGAAATGTAACTCAAATCGTTCGCGCCATATGATAGTTAGTACACGTTCCTACCGGCCATATAGATTATACTAGCCGCACGTATATTATCAGCCTATGAGCGATACTGCGAGTGCATATTTGCTAATTAATTAGACTAATCGCGCTGCAATAGACTCAAAATTCACAGAGATTAAGGCTAAGACATGTGTCTATAATAGCTGGAATTTATAGAAATGTAACTCAAATCGTTCGCGCCATATGATAGTTAGTACACGTTCCTACCGGTCATAGCATAATTTAGTGTATGCGGCGAGAGTGGGCGGGGTCTATTTTTATCCTCCAATCACAGGTCGGAGCAATTCCTCTGTTTAGGAGGCATACAACAGTAAGCCTCCGCAAATTGTTCACCGTTGCACTATTTCGTCTCTAGAAAAGGTCTTTTTTGGCATTTTTTTTCTCCGAAATTCGGCAGTAGAGTGCAATAATTTGCATTATGCACGCAAGTTAGATGCCTCATGGACGTCTAGAAAGCATTAGAAATAAAATTGGTCTTGTCGTGTTGTTGTGTCATTCCGTCAGAAGGCGTAGCCACAGCAACCGGTTGGTCATTTTTGTGTTTGAAATGTGTTCACACAACTTTGCAGAAATTCGCATCATAGAGCTGGCAAGTTTTGCGCAGAGCATAGAGCATGAATCTGTACTGTAGTTATTTAACATGAATGAAGTGTATGTTGCAGGGTTCTCCCTACGTTGCGCAAACGGGGCGCGCGCGCCCCGTTTGGGAAAACTCCCCCCTGTTTCAATCGTTGCGCCCCGTTTGAATTACCTCCGCCCCGTTTAAACTCCACCACAATAAAAGTTTGACAGCGCAGGAATCGATCCTCGAGAATTCCCATACGACCA